TCTTTCAAAAAAAGGAGTTCAGAATGTTGAAATATAAGATCTTATGTTTGCTCAAAGGCTGTCTGTCTGCTAGACAGAGGTTTCCTATGTGCAATTCTGTCCCTTTTCCCCGGAGCCCTACCTGAGCTGCCTGGTCCGGGAAGCGCCGGAAGTCCTCTTCTTAACCATTTTTAAACCATTCAGTGTTCCCTTGTTCTATTTGAACAACTGCCTCTTGGTCTATGTACAGATTCCTCATGAGCACAATTAAATATTCCAGAATACTCATAATTTGCAATGCTGTCCCTAGCTTGTCATGATCCACACAACCAAAAGCCTTTGCATAGTCAATAAAGCACAGGTAAACATCTTTCTGGTATTCTCTGCTTTCAGCCAAGATTTGTCTAACATCAGCAGTGATATCTCTCGTTCTTCTGAAAGTATTCTTATGAAAGCATTCTTCTGAAACTGGCTTGAACCACTCTAAGTTCTCTGTCAATGTATGTTTGCAGCCATTTTTATATTACCTTTAGTAAAACCTTACTCACATGTGATATAAATGATATTGCCCAATGATTTCCACATTCCATTGGGTCACCTCTCTTTGAAATGGGCACAAATATGGATCTCTTTAAGTCAGGTAGTTGTCTTCCAAATTTCTTGGCATAGATTAGTGAATGCTTCCAGTGCCCCATCAATTTGTTGAAAGATTTCAATTCGTATTCTATCAATTCCCAGTGCCTTGTTTTTTTCCAGTGCCTTCAATGCACCTTGGACTTCCTCCTTCAGGATTATTGGCTACTGATCATATGTTACCTCTTGAAATGGTTGAACATTGACCATTTCCTTTTGGTACAGTGACTCTGTATATTCCTTCCATCTTCTTTTAATGCTTTCTGCATCGTTCAACAATTTTCCCAGAGAATCCTCCAATGCCACAAGCCGAGGCTTGAATATTTTATTCCGTTCCCTTAGCTTGAGAAATACTGAGTGTGTTCTTCCCTTTTGGTTTTCTGATTCCAGTTCTTTGCACATTTCATTGTAATATTTGACTTTCTCAAGCTGCCATTTGAAATTTTCTATTTAGCTCTTGTATCTTTTCACTACTTCCATTTGCTTTAGCATCTCTGCCCTGGACAGCAAGGTTTGGAGTCTCTTCTGACATCCATTTTGGTGAGTGAGTAGCGCATAAAAGCAAAACTGTAGGGAGTTCTTGAAGGCTGAATAGAAGCGGGAGCAGGAGTATTAGAGATAGATGGGTTTGGTTCTGGCAATGCTAAGTTTGAGGTGTCTGTAAAGATGACCAGTAGGCAGCAGGAGGTGACTCTAGTGTACATACAGGTAGAGATTTGTGTGTTATCGGGGAGTAGATGGTCATCAAAACTGTGAGACAAAATGAGGTTAACTAGGAAGCATGGTAAGAGGGGCCTGCCTAGAACTCCAAGGAAGACCAACATGAATTAGGTGGGGAGGAGACTGAGAAGGAACAGTCATGGAGGTGTTGCTGTTGTTGTTAGGTGCCATCAAGGCAATTCCAACTCATAATGACCCTTGAGTACAGAATAGAACTCTCCCATAGGTTTGCTAGGCTGTCATCTTTACAGGAGTAGATAACCAGGTCTTTCTTCCAGAGTAGTTGGTGGGTTCAAAATGTGTACCATTTGCAATACCATAACTCCTTAGCTGCAGAAATAGGAATGCTAAAAGAATGGCTCATAGTGACCCTGTACAGGGTTTCTAAAGAGCAGCTGGTGAGTTTGATCCATCGATCTTGTGGTCAAGTATTTATCCTACAGTACCACACCGGGGCTCTAAAGTTCACTTATTTTCAACTTGTTGTTAAGTGCCATCGAGTCAATTTCTACTCATCGTGACCTTGTATAGCATTTGTGAATAACTGGTGAATTTAAATTACCTTGTGGTCCAGGGCTTATCCTACAATGCTACACCAGGTGGCATGAAAGTTAAGGGCAGAGAACATGTCACGGAAAGAACATACTCAGCAACGTCAGATGTGGTTGAGAGGTTATCTTAGATTAAATTGTGTCCCTCCCAAAATACGTGTCAATTTAGGTAGGTCATGGTCCTCCGTGGTTTGGCAGTTGTGGCACTGTAGGATAAGCATTGGATAGCTAATTCCAAGCTTGGTAGTTCAAAGCCATCAGCTGCTCCTCGGAAACCCTATACAGGGTTGCTGTGAGTCAGAATCATCTTGACAACACCTAACAACAACAGCATTGCAATAATGGGATAATTCTGCATGATGTGACAAACTAATAAAAGGATTAAAGGCTGCAATAATTTTAATCCCATCACCACCCTGATTCAGTGAAGTAGAGTTAGTTTCCCAGGATTGTGACCTGAAACATTTTATACAAAGATAAAAGGAGAGAGAAGCAAACAGAGAAAGAGGGGCCTATTACTACAAAGAAAGAAGAACCAGGAATGGGTCCCTTTGGTCCTGGGGTATCTGTACAGTAAAGCTCCTAGATCTGATGCCACGCTGCATGGAGATCTCCAATGAATGCTGAAAGGAGACAAGGACCTTTCCCAAGAGCTAATGAAGACAGAAAGCCTTCCCCTAAGAGTTGGCACCCTGTATTTGACTTTTAGCCTCCCAAACTGTAAGCTCTGGTAGTGTAGTGGATTTGAGCTGCTAACTGAAAGATAGCATTTCGAATCTACCAGTCACTCTGAGCGAGAAAGATAGGACTTTTTGCTCCCATAAAGATTTACAGCCTCAAAAACTATCTATACAGGGTCGCTATGAGTCAGAACTGACTCCATGGCATATAACTACCAAGGTGTAAGCAAATAAATTTCTGGTTGCTAAAGTCATCCACTTGTGGTATTTTTGTTATATCAGCACTAGATAACTAAGAAAGATGTTAAATAGAATAAGGTCAGAGAAATGTCCATTGAATTTACCAATAAAGACCTCAGGAATACGCTTAGTGAATGCAATAAGGTAAGGAGTAAATATGGTGGAAACAGTGTTTAGAGGGAGGGAGGGAGATAGTTGCAGGGAAATGTGGTTCCCAGATGTCTGTCATGAAAAAATTTTATGAAAGCTCAGTTTCTTTGTATATGTGACCACACACACATGCACATCTGCAGCTCTGAAGCTTGGAGTAGGTATGTAAGGGGAGGCTGGAGGCCATCACTGGGGGGTTTGTGGTTGGCCCACAGTCAGCCTTGATTTTACTCTGAGTAGCTTATGACCATTACGGGAGACAACTGTACTACAGTTCAAGTCTTTCATTGTCCAAAGAGAAAATGGAGGACAGTAGAGAGGGAGCAATTTGCTCAGTCTTTGTGTAAGGGCAAAGCCAGAATTTGAATGTGATCTCTGGACTTCTAGAAGAATGACCTCAGAAGTAGTCGTCAAATTCTTATTGCACAATGGGCTTTGCCCATCTCTCCAGTTTTACAACTGTTTCTTTTCAATTTGTATAAGAATACATTTTATATACAAAATCCAAATATTATAGAAAAACATCAAAAAGTGAACAACTTTTATTCCACTTTATAACTTCAAGGACAACCACCATCAACAGTTGGTCTGTCATTCTCCATTTTTCTTCTCTTCATCTCACATATGTTGCGATTATGAATTTTTAATAAAACTATTATCATAATTATTGTCAACTTGCCCCCTTTTCACTTTTGGGCAACTTTCCCATGGTAGGGCACAGAAATTTAACACATTCTTTCTACTAGCTATATTAATTTATCATTTGGACTTGTATCATATTACCAGACCTATATCAATGAACATAAGGGTTGCATCCAAAATTTCACTAATATACATGTATATTTGCAGTTTGGGAGGTTTCTAGAAAGGAAAATGAAAGATCAAAGAGTATGAACATTTTGTTTTACAAGATATTGTCAAATCACCCTCCAAAAATATACCAGTTTATTGGCCCACTAACAGTTTATGTAAAACCTTCCTCCCCATATCTTTATAAACAATGGGCATTCAATTTTAAAAACCATTCCAATTTGGATGAAGTTGATATTTTTTCATGTTTATTGTTCATCATATTTTTCTTTGATGTTTATTCAAATTCTTTGTCTACTTGTTATTGTAGTATACTCTTAATCAGTGTGTTCTTATTGGACATTAATTATTGGCTGGATAGGAAAAGGTCTGGAAGCATCTGTATCAAAATGTTAACAGTGTTTACCCTTCAGGGATTGAGAGTATAAGGAATAAAGAGGGTACTTTCATTTTATTTCATCCTGTGTTACTTGGATTTTTACAATGAGCTAGCATTACTTTTATATTAAAAAAAAAAAATACTACACCAGGGTTCCTTAATAATACAGTAGAAAACAACAAGTAAGTGTTTGCATATCTAGAAATTCAGGTAAGGGATACATTAGCATAGTGGTTACGAATTGGGCTGTGAACTGCAAGGTCAGCAATTCGAAACTACCAGCTGTTCTGCAGGAGAAAAATGAGGCTTTCTGCTCCTGTAAAGATTTACGGCCTTGGAAACCCTGTACAGGGTCACTATAAGTTGGAATTGACTCCATGGCACATAACCACCATACATTGGTATGAATCACAGGGTGTTTTTTTGGTGTATAGGCAAAAACCCATTTATTGGCTACTTCCTACTTAGTTGGCACTGCCTAGGCAGTTTCACAGGTATTTCAATTCTCACAACAGCCCTGTGAGGTAGGAATTGGCTCCATTTAGAGAATTCTCATTGGCTAGGAGATTATTGATTGATATACTGCTATTTAACTCATGTTTTCATTGGCTAGAGGTTCTTATTGGCAGGTAAATCACTAGGAAAGAGCACTCTCAGCCAGGAGTTCCTACTAACTAGTAACTAACATTCAAATAAAAAATACTGTAATTTTTTCCCCCACAGGAGGGACAGAATTGGTAGGAGAAGAGTAGAAGAAGGGAGAGTCAGGGTCTCTTCCCCTGAAGCACCATTTGAGTTTGCTTTGGTCGCCTATGCACAAGAGGGCAGGATGCAGGTAAGGGAGAAGAGGGAACGTGGTTATAATTCTTCTCGTTTCCGTAGGATGAGCTTCCTCACAAGTGCATTGATCTGGGGCCTGATCTCCTCCACTGACACTGTTGGGTCCCAAGCCCCAGCCACCTTCCCATCTGGGGCCACTAAGAATTTCCAGAAGTTCCAGGTGGGCTCCTTCCCAGAAGTCTCTAGAGAAAAAAAGAAGATGATCAAAGTGTGCTTCCCTGTATATCACCTGGGATTTCATTATCAGTGCTCATCCTCATCCTTCCCTTGAAGCAATGGTTCTGTTAGCTAAAAACACCTGGGGAGATTTTTACAATCCACTTGCCCAGGCCACACCCCTGTAGAAAATCAAACCCAGAGCCTTTAGTAGATTCCTGCTAATGGCTACCCTAGAGGCTTTCCAAGGCTATAAATCTTTACAGAAGCAGACTGTTTCATTAGTAGTCCACACTTTAAACTTGCACCAGCAAGGCTCCTTCTACACTACACTCCAAAATACTTAAATAAGAATCTCTGGGCATAAGATTCAAGATCAACATCTTTTTTTTTTAAGCGTAGTGGTTACGAATCGGGCTGCAAACCTCAGGGTCAGCAGTTAGAAACTACCAGCTCTTCCGCGGGAGAAAGATGAGGCTTTCTGCTCCCGTAAAGATTTACAGCCTCGGAAACCCTGTATAGAGTCACTATGAGTCGGAACCAACTCCACGGCACATAAAAACAACAACAAGCTCTCCAAGAGATTGTAATGTGCAGCCAAGATTGGGAACTATTAATGGGCAAATCTCTATCAGATCTTCCTTTATTAATGACCTTCCACTACTGATCATCCTATAACCTACTCTGACTGTGACTTAATGATTCCCAAATTTAGTCCATGGGCTGGCTGTATCAAGATCACTAGCGGGTAGATAGAAAGGCTGAAAAGAAACAGGTTCTTGGGCCCTGCTTTAGTATGGCTCAGGCTTATGAATTTTTATGAGCTCGCCAGGTGCTTCTAAAGCATGGCTAGGTTTGATCTATCTCTATGGGAACTGGGAAGGAACTAACAAAAAACACCAGAAGAAAAAGGAAACATTAGGACAGACTCACAGAAGAAATTACAAATCAGCCTCAATAAGGAGCCTTGCTAAATTATTGTTTCTCATTTACTCTTCAGGGTGAATGTGTTGGGGATGGGGTGTTAAGGAACACAAGGCAACCAGGAGTCTGGAATGGGAGAAGGCAAAAATGGAGCTCACAAAAGGAGGACAAAGGCTTGAGACAGAAAATAGAACCAAAAGCTTGGCTTATAACCCCATTTTATGACTCTTGAGCCTTCTGAGGCTTCTAAAACACTAAATGTGGTATTTTAGTTCAGGAGGTTTCCTCTCATGGTCTACAGACTTTGCCTCTGATGCAGGTCAAGAATTCTGTCAGTTGTCTTGGTTGGCCTTCTTTAGGCTATATGGAGTACCCTATCTGCACCTAGGTTTCTCCTAAATTACTAAATTAAACTAATTCACACTGACTGCAATGTGAGGGCTCAGCATCCTTCTAGGAACTGCAGTATATGAAAAAAGAATCCCAGTGAAGTCAGTAAAAGTGGCTAGGTATACATAAATAAAAATGCACAAGCAACAGAAGATAAATTGGATAACCAGGACCTCCTAAAAATGAAATCAAAAGAGTAATGAGAACTTACAGACTGGGGAAAAAATTGGCAACAATATATGAGCCAGGATACTAATCTCTAAACTTTATAATAAAAATCATCAACACCTCAACAACAAAAAAGCCAATGACCCAATTTAAATATGGGCAGAGACATGAACAGACACTTTACCAAAGAAGATATTCAGGTGGACAATATATAGAAAAATGCTCATGATCACTGCCTATTAGAAAGATGCAAATCAAAACAACATTATCATCTCACCCTAGAATTAATAGCAAAATTTTAAAAACAGAAAACGACAAATGCTGATGAGAGTGCCCATCAAAGGATGAATGGATAAGCAAAACTATGGTACATACACACAAAGGAACACTGAATAACATTAAAGATTAACAATGACTCTACAAAATGCCTCATAAAATAAGATGAATCTGAAGGACATTTTGCCAAATGAAATTAATCAATCACAAAAGGATAATTATATGAGGCTGCTATTATAAAAAGTCAAGGAAAGGTTTTCATGTAGAAAGAATCATTCTTGGAAGGTTGCCAATGTTGAGAGTGGAAGGGAAAGTAAATCCCTAACTAGAGGGTGTTGTTGTTGTTGTTGCTAAGTGCTGTCGAGGTAGTTGTGATTCATAGTGACCCTATATAGGGTTTCCAAGGAGTGGCTGGTGAGTTTGAATCGCCAACCCTGCAGTTCAAACCAACCTTGTGGTCCAGGGGAAATACAGTAAGGGGGAGGTCAGCACAAAATGATCGAAGCAAAGGAAGACACTGGGAGGAGCACAAAAGTTAAAGACAATAGAGGTAAATACTATTACATACAATACTGCCAAAAAGGTAATAGTAATTATCTATGAGAAGATACAGTTGGTCAGGTGTGGGAAGGCAAATGGGACTACACACACAAATATACATAGGTTTGACACAGGATATTTCTAAACATGTATTTAAGTACACTGCAAATATAATGGTAGTCCTAGTGTGACACTGTAGGATAAACAATAGACTGCTAACTGAAAGGTCAGTGGTTCAAAACCATTCAGCCACTTCTTGGAAATTATAGAGTCACTAATATAATACAGTCCTGGTGTGGTGCTGTGGGCTAACGTGCCAGACTGCAAAGCCGTTTGAACTGCAAGGTTGGCAATTCAAGCTCATCAGCTGCTCCTCGGAAACCCTATACAGGGTCGCTATGGGTTGGAATCGACTCGACGGCACTTAACAACAACAACAACAACAATATAATATAGTATATATAAGGGGCATAACTAAACACCTTGAGGGAATGACTTGGTGGGACTGAGGCCTCAGGACTATCATTATCAACAGACATCAAGGTTAATTGGCACAACATAATCCACAAAGAAAATGTTCTCTAGCCTATTGTGATTAGTAGCAAGTAGAATCTTAAAAGCTTGTGAACAGTCATGTAAGGTGCAACTACTGGTCTCTCTCTGTCTGGAGCAAAGAGTGAAGAAAATCAAAGACACATGAAAACAATTACACCAAAGGACTAACGGATGGCGAAAACCTCAGGCTCCATGATGCTGAGCAAAACTAGATGGTGCCCAGCTACCACTACCAACTGCTCTGAAACAGACTACAACAGAAGGCTCTGGATAGAGAAAAAGAAAAATGTAGAACAAAATGCAAATTCATAAGAACAAACTAACAAACAAAAAAGCAGGCTTACCAGTCAGATAGAGATTGGCAGTACTTCTGAAACTATGGCCTTTAGACACACCCTTCAAGTCTGGAATTGAACTCACCCCTGTGGCTCAACTTTCAGTTAACAGGCAGGTCTTGTCAGATGAACACCACCACAAGGGAGGTACGTACATTTCTGAGAACAATCAACATTGAGACCAAAATGGCAGAATTTTCCCAGAGACCAAGTTCAGGAGGCAGGAAGGGATAGGAAAGAAGGACGAAGAAAGGAAGTGGGAAACAAAAGGAGGAAGTAGGATAAATGCTATTACCTTGTGGGGATTGCAATCAATGGCTTGAAACGAAATGCATATGAAATATTGAATGGATTGTCTGTTGATATGCTCTGTAAACTTTCACCCAAATCATAATAAAATGTTAATAAAAGAAAAAGTTCTAACTTTTGTGAAGAAGAAATCAGATCATTTGTATTTGATAAATGAAAACTAAAATGAGGTACCATCTCTCCTCGGCCAAAAAAAACCCCCAGCAAGCAAGACATGCTGGTGAGGTTCTGGGAAGATTGGAACTTTTATACTGCTGGTGAGACTGTAAAATGGTACAACTATGGAAAATGACATGGTGTTTCCTCAAAAAGATAGAAATATTAGCGATCCCCACTCCTAGGTATATATCCTAGTGAAATAAGAGCAATGATGTGAATAGATACATGCAAACCCATGCCCATTGCAACATTTTTCACAACAGCAAAATCATGGAGCTAAAAAGCATGCATCAATGGAAGAATGGATAATCAAAATGTGGTACATACATACCACATGAAATACTTCGCAACAATAAAGAATAGTGAGTCCAGGAAATATCCTAACATGGATGAATCTGAAGGACATTATGCTGAGTTAAATGACTCAATCACGAAAAGAAAAATATTGTGTGAGACCAGTATTATAACCATTATAAAAAAGTCAAGAGAAAGTAACATTCTTTATGGTTACCAGGGATGGAAGGGAGAGGGAAGGAGAATTGCTTACTTACTAGACAGTAGACATAAATTGATGCTGTTGAAGGCAAAGTCAATACAAGATAGAGGTGAAGTCAGCGCAATATGACTAAATAAATGAACATAGTGAGAGGTATGCAAGAATAAATGACAACTATGGTAAATGCAAGGAGCTCTGATAGTGTAGTTGTTACAAGTCGGCTGCTAACCTCAGCAGTTCAAAACTACAAGCTGTTCTGTGGGAGGAAGAAGAGGCTTTCTGCTTCCATAAAGATCTGCAGGCTCAGAAACCCTACAGAGGGTCGCTATGAGTCAGAACCAACTCCACAGCACACTACCACCACCACCACAGTCAATGCTATAGCATGCACAATTCTGCAACAACACAGTAATAACTCAAAATTTGTAAGTGATTACATAGGTAGATATGTATGCTATATATGTATGTGCTATATAAGTGCTGTATAGGAATTCATACAGCATGTGCATATATTGGTATACCTATGGGCATTTGTATATGTTGCATATATATTCACATATATAACAGAGCAAACAGGAGGCACAGGTGGACATATCCAAACATCTCATGAGGCTTGAAGGTTAAGGACTATAGTCTTGTAGGGGGAAGTGGACATTTAGGTCAGTTGGCACAACGTAGTTGATACTATTCTACATTCTAGTTTGGTGAGTCTCGGGTCTTTAAAGCTTGAGAACAGCAATCTAATATATAATTATTGGTCTCTTCCTGTCTGGAGGAAAAAAGTTTGAAAGAAAACAGACTCAAGGAAGTAATTAGTTCACAGGACTAATGACCCATATGAATCACAGCCTCCTTTAGCCTGAGACCAGAACTAGATGATGCTAATTGGCGACCACCACTACTGACTACTCTGACCAGGGACACAACAGATCCTGGCTAGAATGGGAGGAAAATGTAGAACAAATTTTAAATTCACAATGATCAGAATTATTGGACTGAGATAGATGGAGGAACCACCAATACCATTGCCCTTTTAACCTGGAACTGAATTCACTCCTAGAAGTCACCTTTCAGCCAAATTATAGATTGGCCTAAAAAAAATAAACAATACCTTAGAGCAGGGGTGGGGAACCTTTTTTCTTTCAAGGGCCATATGGATATTTATAACATCATTTGTGGGCTATACAAAATTATCAACTTAAAAATTAGCCTACTCAATACCAGAGATGGAGGCAGAGATGAGGACATGGAGAGAGGGAACAGCTGAGGACTCTGGACTCATGGAAAGATAGGGACTGGGTGCTGGCAGCAAAGAGGCAGGTTTGCAGAATGTGCCCCTTGGTTTAAATTATTATGTATTCCTGAGTGTTTTTGTGTGCATCCCCTCACCACCACCACCACCACCACCAAAAAACAAAACAAAACAAAAACAGGGAATGCAAGCAAATACTGTTGAATGATGATGCATGGAGGAGATTGTAATCATTGCAATGAAACGATGGTACAAAGTCAATGTTCTCCCATGTAAACTATCACTCAGTTCACAATTGTTGTTGTTGTTGTTAAGTGCCTTTTGAGTCGGATAAGAAACTTAAAAATTAGGCTGCTCTATTTGGATGGCTGGAACTGTGGTTTACTTGGCAAGGCCAGACCAAATGACTCCAATGCACTTAACCACAACAATACGGCCAAAGGGCAAGATGTTCCCCACACCCTAGCCAGAAAGGAATGTGCTCCTTAAAACAATCAACTATACATGACCAAATGGGTAGCAGTGGCCCTAAAGGAAAGATGACAAGGCAAGAAGGAACATGAAAATAAGGAAGATAGCATTGAAATGAGAAGAGTGTTGACACATTGTGGGACTAGCAAACAAAAACAGAGAACAACATGTGTATAAATTGTTGAATGGAAAACTAATTTGCTATATAAATGTTTTTAAAAAATAAAAATAAAAAAGTTGCTGAGGAGAAGTGCAAAGTAAACAAATACAGACATGTATGTGGGGAGGTGGGTTAATGCACTGAACTGCAAAGTCAGTTTGAGCCACAAGGTCAGCAATTCAAGCTCACCAGTTGCTCTTTGGAAACTCTACACAGGGTTGCTATGGGTCGGAATTGACTCGACAGCACTTAACAGCAATTCTTAGGAAGGGGTACCCCTGAACACCTCAGCTAATGCCCCTTCCCAATCTCAAAGTTTACTGCTGAAACAAAAAGAGTCTCCAGGTCACCCAAGCCAGACAGAGGCTTCTGCTGCTCAGGTGTGAGGATAAAGGGACTCACGGGTCAGGTATTTGAAAGCAGGATGGGCACCAGTGCCAGTGACTGCCACTTTGCTAAACATGGGGAAAGAGACACTGTAGGTTCGGCGGGCAAAGCTCTCAATCTCCTTGTTGCTGTCAGGCTCCTGCTGGCCAAACTGGTTGCAGGGGAAGGCAAGCACGTTGAAGTGGTGAGGGCCCAGGTCCCGCTGTAGCTGCTGCAGGGCTCGGTAGTGCTGGTCTGTAAAGCCGCACTCGCTGGCCACGTTCACTACCAGGGACACCTGCAGCAATAAAACCACGACAACCACTCACATATAGACACAACCCAGTGAAAAGACATGCACGTATACACACCCTCACATGCCTTTATGTGACTCCCCCAAATTAGCACTTTCTCACATACACAGGGCCACAATAGACACATATGCAAATGTACATGGTATACTCTCATATATAAACAAACATGTACATGTGAAATTTAGAATGTAGTGGGGCTTACAGACATTGTTGTTGCTAAATGCTGTTGAGTGAGTTCCAATTCATATCACTTATGTATAGAGTTTCCAAGGAGCAGCTAGTGGGTTTGAACTGCTACCTTGCAGTTTAAATCGACTTTGCCTTCTAGTGCTTATCCTACAGTGCCACACAAGGACTTCCTTATAGAATTATGTACACACTTATGCAATGAACATTTGTGAACATAAGACAATACACATAAGTAGGTATGCACACGTTCCCTGACACAAAGAACATGAGCACACATCATACATACTCACACAAGTATACATAAGCTATTCACAGAGAGAGGCACATATTGGTGAGCACACATCAGGAGGTAATTGAGAGAGTGGAAAGACAAACCTGGGTTTAGGAGGCTATTAGTTCAAATTCAGAATACTGACTCTAAGGAATGACTTTTTCTCTGGCTTTGAGGGAAAGTCCTGCTTTTTTGGGTTGTTGATGCGGTATGATATCAACAAGGAGGCTTCAAAGAGTTCGTGGGAAAATTCCATTCTTCTGAAAATGTTTGAAGTCTCCTTGGTTTTTACTCCATCACAACTCTATGGTTAGCATGTTTAATCTCTTTTATATAGCTCAAAAGAGATTGATTTAAACCACATCCTATGCTAACACTACCTCATTAACACAACAAACAATCACATTCCCAAAGGGGATTATAAATGATCAGGACTACTAACCGCCACTCATCTGTCAGTCTGCCATATTGTGATGGCTTGCATGTTGCTGTGATGCTAGAAGCTATGCCACTAGTATTTTGAATGCTGGAAGGGTCACCCATGGTGGACAGGTTTCAGCTGAGCTTCTAGATTAAGACTAGGAAGAAGAAGAGGTGGACTACTTCTGAATGCTCAGCCACTGAAAACCATATGAATAGCAGTGGAACATAGTCAGACAGCACCAGAATATTAAATATTAAAACATTATGAATTGCTGTTGTAGTTCTTAAATGCCATGGAGTGGGTTCCGACTCATAGAAACCCTGTATAGGTGAGTTTAAACCTCTGACCTTGCAGTTCAAACCAACCATGAGATCAAGTGCGTATCCTATAGCACCACATCAAGACTCCACATTATGAATATCACCAGAATAATGTCATTATGAATATCACTTTTGGCAGGTATAGTGCCAAAAGAAGAGCCCCTCAGATTGGAAGGCACTGAGAGTTTGACTAGGGAAGAGCTGCCTCCTAAAAATAGAGTTGACCACGATGACATGAATGGAGTAAAGTTTTCTGAACCTTTGATTGCCTGATGGGGCACACCTCAAAATGAGGAGAAACAGCTACAAACATTCATTAATAATTGGAACACGGAATATACAAAGTATGAATCTGGGAAAATTGGAAGTTGTCAAAATGAAATGGGATGCATAAAGATTGATATACTATGTATTAGTGAGCTGAAACGGACTGATATTGGCCATTCTGAATCTGATAATCACATGGTTTTCTATGCTAAGAATGATTACTTGATAAGGATTCATCATCAAAAAGAACATTTAAAGATCTATTTTAAAGTATAATGCTGTCTGTGATAGGAAAATATCCATGTGTCTACAGGGAAAACCATTTTATACCACTATTATTCAAATTTGCCCACCAACCACTAAAGCCAGTGATGATGAAGTTGAAAAGTTCTACCAACTTCTTCAGTGAAACTGATCAAACATACAACCAGGATGTACTGATAATTACTGGTGATTAGAATGCAAAGGTCAAAAACAAAGAGGAAAGATCAGTAGTTGGAAAATATGACCTAGGTGATAGATAATGCTGGAGATCATTTGATAGAATTTTGCAAGACCAATGACTTCTGCATTTCAAATACCTTTTTTAAACAACATGCAAGATGACTACACACATGGACATCACCAGATGGAAAATACAGAAATCAAATTGACTATAATTGTAGGAAGAGATAGTGAAAAGGCTCAATGTCATCAATCAAAACAAGGCCAGGGGCAGACTGTGGAACAGACCATCAATTGCTTATATGCAAACTCTAATTGAAGCTGAAGAAAATTAAAACAAGCCCATGAGAGCCAAAATGTGACCTTGAATATAGCCCACCTAAATTTAGAGACCAACTCAAGAACAGATTTGATGCATTAGACACCAGTGACCAAAATCCCAAAGAGTTGTGGGATGACATCAAGAACATCATATAGGAAGAAAGCAAATGGTCATTAAGATGACAAGAATACAGGAAAAGACCAAAATGGATGTTAGAAGAGACTCTGACT